CCAGATTTTGTCTAGCAGAACACTTCTGTTAGATGCCAACAGGTGCTCCTTGGTCAACTAAGATTGGGAAATGTTGTGTTAGACAAGATTAAACGGGGCTTCCCTCCACAGGCCTTCGCGGATCCTTGCTTCGTATGGAATGTGTGATGTTGCTGCTGCTGCGTGAGAGGGGACTGAAGTATGTAACATTTCTCCCATGTTTAAGATCAAGGAATCCCAGTCTCCATGGATGCTTCCGAGGGTTCCACTGGGCAGCTTGGGAAATGCTAGTCTGGAAGCCTTGCAGTCCTACTGAGTCTCCTGTGGGAAGCAAATGTTCCCAGGAGGCGAGTCTGTGGGAGAATGAGATCAGTGCAGACAGGGCCTTGAAAGTGTGGGCTCGGCCGGGCGCGGTGGCTCAAGCCTGTAATCACAGTGCTTTGGGAGGCCGAGACGGGCGGATCACGAGGCCAGGAGATCGAGACCAGCCCGGCTAACACGGTGAAACCCCGTCTTTACTAAAAAAATACAAAAAACTAGCCGGGCGAAGTGGCGGGCGCCTGTAGTCCCAGCTACTCGGGAGGCTGAGGCAGGAGAATGGCGGGAACCCGGGAGGCAGAGCTTGCAGTGAGCTGAGATCCGGCCACTGCACTCCAGCCTGGACGACAGAGCGAGACTCTGTCTCAAAAAAAAAAAAAAAAAAAAAAAAAAAAAGTGTGGGCTCCAGAGGGGCTGCAGAGGCAGTGGGTCTGAAAGGGAGGGGTGGGTGTGAAGATCCAAAGTGATCATTTTCCCAAGGAGCCTGGAGCCTGGCAGAGCAGAGCTCCCTGCTCCTCCACCTCACAGCTGCCTTTCCCCACGAGAGGCCTCTCTCCTCTCTAAGCGTAGCCACCCTGCGATCCAGAGCTCTGTCCTCTCCCCACCTCCAGCTTCTCAAGCCAACAGCACCCCAGGCTGTGTCTGGGTGTCACGGCTGAGCTCTCGGTGTCCCTTCAGCCTGGAATGCCCTCCCCCACCTCACACCCTCTCTGGGAAATTCCTACTCATACTTTAATTGGCAGCCACTTCCAGGAGGTGGTCACTGATAGCATCACCCCGCCCAGACCACCCCACTCTCCTCCCCTGCTCCCCAGGCTCAGCGGGATTCTCTGTCCCTCCAGGGAGCTCCATGACACCCTCCATTGCTGCCCCTCCCCCACGTTCTCATGCTCCATTTCTGTCCCTCTAATCTGGAAGCCCCTTGCAGCGTTGTCTCTGTATCTTACATCCTCCCCTGGCAGGAGATAGCTGCTCAATAATTAATTGAATGAATGAGACCCAGGCCCAGAGCAGGCGAGCAGGGAGTGGGTTAAAATCCCCTACATGTATCACTTTGAAGAGTTTCCCAAGTTAAAACAATCGATTCCACATGTTCTGAAACCTCATCCTTCTTCGCCATTGCTCAGCTCTATGGTTCTCTGGTTTCCTGGAGGCAGAAGTCTTCTCTCCACCCCTCCCACGGTCTGCCCATCCCGTCCACCTTCCACCTGACCTGCTCTTCCCTCTGTTGTCATGCCCTTGGGCCACTGATTCTTATTGTCGCTTCTCAGAAATCATGAATGAGCCTTGGACTATCAATGGCATGGCCTTAAGTTTATGCTTCGCTAAGTAGGCAGTAAATGCAAATATCTTGAGAAAACAATCTAACTTGAAGAATGGAAAGAAGGGTTGTTTTTCCCGGGGCTGGAGGGCGGTGGCACGAACTAGGCTCATTGCAACCTCCGCCTCCTGGGTTCGAGTGATTCTTGTGCCTCAGCCCCACGAGTGGCTGGGACTACAGGTGTGCGCCACTATGCCTGGCTGATTTTTGTATTTTTAGTAGAGACCACGTTTCACCATGTTGACCAGGCTGGTCTTGAACTCCTGACCTCAGGAGATCCATCTGCCTCAGCCTCCCAAAGTGCTGGGATTTTTTTTTAAGGACAAGGTTGGCTTTAATAGTTCATGAAAAAGAGAAAACTAGAAGGAAACTGGAAGCAGAGGACACAGAAAATTTGCTGTTAGCAGTGCACCCAGGGCTGCATGACGACTCTTCATGGGCTCCAGGCATTTTTGTCTCTGTGGGCCCCTTCTCCATTAAAATATACAATTGCATTGCTATAGGCAAGTGCAATCTAAACTGGGTTAATTATTGTATATGCATGATTGTTATATTTATTTTTCTTTTGATTTAAAAAATGTTTAAAACGTGTTTGGGTCCCTAGGCACTGCGTTTGCCGTGTCTAATAGCTTATTCCACTCTGAGCCCACCACCCTGCCCTTTTGACGCTTTGGGTCGCACTGTTCCTCCTGCTTGGAGTGTCTGTCTATCGTCCATCCCAGCCTGTGTTGACCTGACTGACGTGACAGATTCCTACACATATGCAAGGTCCAGCTCCAACGTAACTTTCGCCAAATTTAGCAAATTAAAATACAGCATGCCCACTTACATTTGAACTTCAGACAAATTACAAATATGTATTATTTGTTACAACAAGCATGAGTATGTTCCACATGTCGCATGTCCAACATGTCGCATGTCCCACATGTCGCATGTCCCACATGTTACATGAAACATGCTTGTACTAAGAAATTGTGCCTGCTTATCTGAAATTCAGATTTAACTAGGTGTCCTGTATTTTCTCAGGCAACACTAATCTGTAGCTGTTTCTGATTCATTTTCCTTCCGGCTCTTCATCCCACCTGCGGCTCTCTCTGAGGCATTCTAGCGCTCTCTCCACACCTCTCCCTGCACGTCTCGCTTTTGGGGTATCACGGACTCCTCCCCGCATCTGCAGTCCTATCTTCATCCCACTCAGCTGCCGTGGCCAGGGACGTGGCAGTGTATTCCTTGTCTTACATGAGTAAATGTGTGCTTGCCCTTCGTTTCCCCAACTATTTTCAGGGATGACTTGGCAGCATTTGGTTTTAATTTCATTTAGGATGTTGTGAGGCTGAGACTAAAGATGAGTTAACTATTGCCTGGGATTCTAGCAACGCTTCTGTTAACAAATGTGTATCCCAAGAAGTCCCTTGGGGCTCAGACATTTCATTACCTGACGGAAAAAAGCCAGAGACTCTCGGCTGAAACCCGTGCCCCCTCCTTGGGTGGACTATGAGTGGAGGCGACAGGCTTCCACCTCCCAAGGATTCGGGTGTCTGATAGTACATCGGCCGTGGCCCAAGTAGGATCTTGTGTTCGAAGGGAAGATCTTTGTTTTTGAGACTTAGGTTCAGGAAATTCTGATTTCCTACCTCTATCCCGGGAGTGGATTGATATTTTAAAAGTTACTTTAACCTACTTCACTCCACACTCATGGTCCCCCAGAGCACCTCCTTAACACAGCAGAAAGCTGGCCTGAGATGATCTCGTGGGCACAAGCCACATAAGGCCGTCGGGACCAGTATCCAGGCTCCTCACCCAGTGGTCTTCCACCCTTCTCTGCATCGCGGATTTCAGAGCTGGAGGCCAGCAAGTGTGGCCTTCTCTCTGGGGATTGCAGTGAGAGGTGGCACGCACTCAAGTTTGCAGACCAGCAAAGCACCAGCCCAAGAAGGACAGGGAGAGCACGGTGCAGGCGCCCCCAGGCTGCTGGGGACTTCCCAGCTCTCAGCACATTCTCCTTTTCTTGGTTGAAGGAAGTTGCTAAAGTTGACCACTGGTTAATTGTTTTGTTATTCATGCTGAGCAAGAAACCAGGGTCCAAATACTGTGTGTGTGTGTGTGTGTGTGTGTGTGTGTGTGTTTGGGGAGGGGTGCCCTCCTAGTAGGGAGCTGCCCAGTAGTTTCTGCCTCTTATTAATCTCTAGTCCAGCTCCTGACTCACCATGAAGCTCACAGAAACAGGCAAAATGGCCCAAAATAGTTTCCATGGTGGTCACCAGGTGTGATGAGAAAGAAGACAAACCAACGAACCCATGGTCATGTCTACATGGGGAATTCTGCACACGATACCCACCCCCCGGACTGTGAAACAATCATTGGCCCAATAAAGACTCTGATAAGCTCTACAATTATATATTAAACTTTAAAGCATGGGTTGATGCTATTTAACTCAATATTTTCCGAAGTTATTTGATCAGAGAACCATCATGTCCTCCTCCCTTTTTTTTTTTTTTAAATTTGAGGAGCATCTCACTGTGTAAGTAATCCCGGACACACTTTGGGAAAATAGCTCTAAAAAGGGAGAGGAGGTAAGCAGGAGTTTTACCACCGTGTGTTCCCACTCCAAGTCACTGACTTTGGACTGGAATTTTGGCTTGGAGAAAATGCAGCTGGCCTCAGCACCGCCCTGGAGCCTCTTCCAGCCAGTCCTGGCAGAAGGACTCTGAATGCCTGAACCCACAAGTTGTACCCGAGTCCACTAAGTCTCCACGCAGGGATGGCGTGCGTTGGGAAGAGGGGGCATTTCAGGCAAAGGCTAGTGGGGCACAAATGCCGTCCATGGGGCAGCCTGGGCTGGGGCTATGCAGAAGAGCCATAGAGCACCGTGCAAAGTCGCCTGACGTGACTCAGTTTCATACAAGCTGCATCCTCTGCCTGGGACGCTCCTGATCTCTTGGCACAGTTTCTTAACTTCAGTCTTAACGTCATTTCTAATTAAAGCAAGCTCCCCTGTTAGTGTCTATATTATAGGATCCTGTTTGTATTCTTTTAGCATTTCTCAACACATGGCTCGGTACATAGTTTACTTTTTTGAATGTTGTCTGTCTCTCCCCAAATAAAATAACTCCAGGAGGGCAGAGGTTTTTGCTTTGGTCACCATTAGAGCCCTGGTGCCAGGAACAGTGCCTGGCACAGTGTAGGCACACCATAAGGGTTTGCTGAATGAAGAACAACTTTGCAATTTTTTCCCTCCTGAGTGGTGATTGGTTGCTGGGAGTTGATGGGCAAGGCCACTGACCATCCAGTGGGCTGTGTGGTAAGAAGGCAGTGATTCCTAATAAAGGCTTGTGGATGGCTGCCTCGCCCAGGGCATGCAAGGAAGTACAGAAGTACAGAGAGCGATAGAAATGAGTTTTTATTTGTAAAAAGTTACAAAATGATATTGTACAAAAATAAAGTCTGTAGAGAACTTTGGTTGTATAACACAAACGACCGAGACAGATCAGAGAAGTCAGAACTTTCAAACAAGTGCGCTCCTTACTGTATCAGATGGCGATCGCAATGATAAAGAAAAATCACAAACTTTACCCTTTTGTGGATTTGGTAGAGCAATTTGCTTCCATTAAAACCTGCTTGTGGTGTGTAGGTGATGCCAGGAATGAGCTGTCAACACCCATTGGATACTACAGCTTTTTTTGGGCAGGGACTCTCCATGGGGAGCTGGTGTGGGTGTGGGGCAGTCACTGAGGTTGAAGCCTGGGAACAGTGGCCATCGCACCTGCCAGGGTTCTCTGAATGGGACAGATGCCCCTGGGGCCACATCCAAATTGCACTCCATGAATGACTGGATGGCTGGAGTTTGTCACTGTTTTGAGCAGTCTGAATTCTCAGCAAGATCCCAAGAGAAGGTGAGAGAGAAGGCCTTTCCTCCATTTCCCAGGCAGGCAAGGGGAGCAGAAAAGACAGAGAAGGGCAGAACTGTGAAGAATTTGGGTATTTTCAGGGAAGGGGATGGGATATCTGGTAACTGCTGCTTCTTGTTACTTTGTAAAACTGACATGATTATTTGATGGAGGCCAGTATTTCATTTAATTGCTAAATCTGTCATAGTTTTATGACTAATAGCCATTAAGGTAGTAACAGATTATCTCCTTGATGAAAATCCCTTTTATGAAATGTGCAACAAGCTCTAATATAAGGCCTAGTGTGTCATACGTGTGTTGGCTGCCTGACAAATTCACAATCTAGGGCATGGAGGGGGTGGCTGTTCCCACCCGATGCTTCCTCCCATTCCAACCTCTTTCTGTTTTTTTTTTTTTTTTTTTTGAGACCGGGTACTGCACTGTCACTTAGGCTGGAGTGCAGTGGCATGATCACAACTCACTGCAGCCTCGACCTACTGGACTCAAGTGATCCTCCTTCCTCAGCCCCGAGTAGCTGGGACCACAGGCGTGCACCATCACGCCTGGCTAATTTTTAAAGTTTCCATAGAGACAGGGTCTCCCTATGTTGCCCAAGCTGGTCTCAAACTCCTGGGTTCAAGACATCCTCCCACCTTGGCTTTCCAAAGTGTTGGGATTATGGGTGTGAGCCGCTGCACTGGCCCTGATCGCCTTCATTTAAAGGCAGCACACTCTTAAGTATGAGGCTCTGTGTGTGGCTGTGGCTGGCCCAGATGTGGCTTCCTCAGCACCCTTCTCAGCCATCTGCTCCCCAGGGAACTGTCAGGTGTTTGGGTATATAGCAGCAGCAGCTGTTGACCCCCCGGTGACAGCCCAGGAGTTGTACAGGACCTGGTAGACCCTACCTCTGGAAGGCCCCTGTGTCTCCCATGCTGCACTGGGCAGCCGGCATATTCTCGGGAGGGCTGTGGGTGAGCAGGGATGGAGGGAGTCTGTAAAATGGTAGCTACCTGACAGCATTGTTGACATTACTTTTAGGTCAACATTAAATCCAGGACTACCTGTTAAAAGGAACTGAACCTTTTCTATATATGGTTATGCATAGTATAGCTAGGTATACATGGAGGGGACTAAGAGCTTAAATACAACAGGAAGTGGAGCCCACAACATTTCTGTTCAGCGATGGAGCAAGGAAGAAATAAAATCAAGCGCCGGTGGTCTCTGCACGCTGCTCCAGGAAAGGGGGCTTGCCTGAGACGCTCCACAAATAAAAATTGGGGAAAATGCTGAAATCTGGGGAAAATTAATGAGACATTTTCTTAAACAGGTAAAGTAAGTGATTTTTGCCTAGCAAAAAACTTTTTAATACTTTGAAAAGCATGGACCCTTGTTCCCAATTCGAATTTCCTTTTGTCACCTTTCTTTACATTTTGCGAGCACATATACTTTGGCACCTTTGAAAAGAAACTTTAATAAATAAGGGAAAAAAGAGAAACTCATTAGTGAAAGGTAATAAATAACAATAACTTAAATCTCAATAAATATCTTCTCTATATTTCTGTATCTGAAACAGATGCATTGCATCGAGTAGCTTCTCTAGTCACTGGTGACCACGCATCAATGGAGCTGGGTATGTAACATCTGTCTCTCTGTAAACCAACAGGCCCGAGGTGCTCTCCCTGCCCGGGGGCAGTTGGGGGCCTTCCCCAATTCTCTCCTACAAGAATGCTGGCGAAAACCATAACTCGTTTCCTGTTTCCAAGGACATAAAGGAAATACCTTCAGGTTTGTGTTTAATCATGAGCACAGCCTTTTTGGTTCCTAGCCAACTTCTTCCCACCCCACACACGATGATGGAAATCCATCACCAACTGTTGGCAAAAATGCTGGTTGTAGTAAACCTCGGGCCTCGACTTTCAAATGCAAAGGTGATTATCTCTTGTATCTTTGCTTTTTTTTTTTTTCCCTCTCCTTTCCAGGGTATGTCTCCACTGAGTGACAGAAAAATAAACCTCTTACTTTCAGCAGTAAAACGTAATGACAAGGAACAACACCAGGATCCCTGTTTCCCTGGTGTCTTCAGACACATGAAAACAAATCACAGGAGATACACTGGTTTGGTTCAAGTGCATCCGCAGCCGCGCCGGTGATCAGTGACAGTGGACCGTATCAGCTGAAACGGTGGCAACAGCCAACCAGGAACATCAGCCCTGAGCTTCTAGTGACATCGGCTGCCATCCTGGAGAATCCAGAGGGCTGTTTTCTCTCTCTCCTGTCCAGTTGTCTGTAGCTCGATCTCCCTCTACCAGGCTCCCATGATGGCTGCCTTCCTCCTCCTCCTCTTCTTCTTCCTCCTCCTCCTCCGCTTCCTTGGTCCTCATCTTCCATTCTGGGCAAACATTTCCTGGGAACCTTGGTCCCTTTCTTTGCACTGTAGCAGGAATGCAATACACAGCAGTCTCTGGAGCCGGAGTCAGATACATCCACACCTTTTAGCGGAATGCTTTCTTAGAATATGGTAAACCAGGTTATCATCTAAAAACGACAGGTCATCATCAAAGGCGGTGGGTCTGCAACATGCCTGCCCTACTTTGTCACTCACCAGCCTTCTATTTCTGGATAAGTTTTTTAATATTTTGTCATATGTTGTCTCAGCTGCATCGCAAGAGCCGCTGCAGTACCTAAAAATCAGTTCCTCCTTGGTTTCGTAGCCCAAACCCAAGTCAGTGACATTTAAATGTATTGCAGTTAAGACACAACCCCGGTTTTTGCCCCTCTGGCCTCTCCGACCTTTTCCTTTGGAATTCTCTGGGTTGGCAGCTGCAGCCTGCCGATTCCGCTCTCTTCTAGGAAGCACTGCCATTTGTTTATCTGGTGACCTTTTCAGTCTTTTAATGGTGGCTTGAATAAAATCCATGACATCATCAAACTGATCAGGATAATCCTCTGGCATATTTGCTGTTCAACAAGAAAAGAGAAAATGGCACATGAGACAAAATGATCGTTTCAAGCCATCTTCAAGATCAAAGTGCCCCCCTAAAGTCAGCAAAAATTGGACCCACAGCAAAACTATCAGTTGATTAAGCTACGGGACCATTGTAATCCCCAAGAACAGAGGCAAAAATGCACAGAAGAAAGATGATTTAGTTGGAAGAGGAGACTACCATGGTGGTGACACACTTCCTCGAAGAAAAATCCTTAGAAGCGTAGTTTTCATTTGAATAACATCCACCATTTTTAACAAGTCCATACAGAGCTCGCTGTGAGCTGGCCAATCCTCTGGGGCATTTTTCCTGCCTAGTCACACAACCTAGAGTAGTGGTTCTCAAATGTGAGTGTGCAGGAAAATACCCTGGATATTGACTAGAATGCAGATTCTTGGCCTTACCCTTGAAGACAATGAGTCAGTTGGTCTGGGGAGGGGCCAAGGAATCTGCACTTCTAACAAGCCCCAAGGAATTCTAATGTCAAAGATCCACGCACCAAACTTTGAGAGACAGCATCTTACAGGGTGAAAAAAGTGAATTCTTCCAATATGGCTACCTTTATCTGGAGTACTGAGTGCTCTTCCCTGAAACTTGCTTTGATTCTGTATGGCTGAGTGGGACAAGAACCATTCTGACAGAACAAATGAAGAGCTCAGGAATGCAACTACAGTTTAAAACTTCCTTAAAAATCATTAAGGAACAGGAAAACAATTTACATTTTACTAACAAAGAGACTAATTTACTGCTTCCTTTGAACAGCATGACTTTAACAAAAAAGTCCAGTGATAGAGTAAAATGGCATTTATGTATCAAAGCAATAAATGAAATGAGATGCTGTTTGTGGATAGAAGCAGCCCTGCCCCCAAGGGTGAGGTCCGGCCTCAGCTGCAGGTTGTCACATGGCTCCCACGGTCTGGCTGCAAGCAGGACAAGAGGCTCATTAGGGAGATCACATGGAGGAAGGATGCGGGGACACTAAGATGTCTGAGACCTTTGGTGAAAGTATGAATCAGCAGTTTCTCGGTGCTTTCTGCCGGATTTCAGCGTTTGCTTTGGCGGATCAAGTAAGAAGAGAAAAGTAACTAATGGAACAATGTAATAAATTTCTAAACAGGGGAAATACAATTCAAACACCTATTTCTTAGGTATTAGGCCTTTTACGTCTCCCTCACCTCATTTTTCAGGTCATTTATTATGTTTAGGATTATAAGTGGCTTAAAGAAATATACCACAGAAGAGCTGTCAGCAAGAGTAAATGTTTTTTGCCAAGATTGTGTTAAAGCATAGAAAGATTACATTATGTCTAACCCATGTCAAATTGTTTTGTCATAAACCTAACCTATTTAATTGTTAAAATATCAGGTATCCCTTCCTATAGAACAAAATCTAGCAAAGGCAACTTAACCACGTATGTGTGTAGTGTGTGTGTGTGTGTGTGTGTGTGTAATATGTAAAACATACGATATATGACAATGAAGAGACTGGTGACTGGAAGCCATAGAATGCCCGGTTGCTCTCTGAAATTTGGCATTGGCTGGATCGGCTGCACAGAAGTCACAGAGCTGTTTCCACACTGGCTGAAGTCCTGTCACCTCTTGCCTGGATAACTGCAGTGGCCCCTGAACTGGGCTCCCTCATTCTACCCTTACCCACCTGCGATCTATTGTCTACCCAGCCCCCAGAGAGATACTGTAAACGCAGAACATAACCCCCTCTGCTCAAAACCTTCCAGTGGCTCTCCATTACTCTTGGAGAAAAAGCCCAAATCCACACTGGCTCTAAAGGCCCTACCTGACCTGGCTGCCCCTCTCCTCCAGCCTTTACTACGTAACTCTGACCTCCTTTCCTGTTTCTCCTCTTCCTCCCTCCCATCTAGCTACCCTGGCTTCCTTACCATTCCCCAAACACGGGGCTCAGTGTCAGCACCACTGGCCTTTTGGGCTGGGTCATCTTCACTGTGGGAGACTGTCCTGTGCACTGTACGATGTTTGGCAGCATCCCTGGCCTCCACCCAGCAGAGGCCTGATATGGTTTCGTTGTGTCCCCAGCCAAATCTCATCTTGAATTTTAGCTCCCATAATCCCCACATGTCATGGGAGGGGGCCTGGTGGGAGGTAATTGAATCGTGGGGGCAGGTTTTTCCTGTGCTATTCTGGTACTAGTCAATAAGTCTCATGAGATTTGATGGTCTTATGAAGTGCAGTTCCCCTGCCTGCCCATGCTTTCTTGCCTGCCGCCATGTCAAAATGTGACTTTGCTCCTCCTTTGCCTTCTGCCATGACTGTGAGGCCTCCCCAGCCTTGTGGAACTGTAAGTCCATTAAATCTCTTTCCTTTATAAATTACCCAGTCTCAGGTATTTCTTCATAGCAGTAAGAAAATGGACTAAAACAAGGCCTGTAGCATCCCCCATCCTAGTCATGACAGATCAAGGTCATGACTGGATATTGCAAATGTCCCCTAGGGGCAACACCATCCCTTGAGAACTACAGCTCAAACAGTCAGGAACTCAGGGCCTTTGTGCTGGCTGTCCCCTCTCCACCTGGTCCCTTGGCCTATAGAGCAATTTGTATTTTACCTGCAATATACGTAGGCAAAGAATATCAGATTACATGTCTCCCACCCTGTGGCCACTCCCACATCTCCTTCAAGTCTTTGCTCAAATGTCACTGTCCATGAGTCCCACCTGACCTCCCTGTTTAAAACAAGATTCCTCCCCAACCCCTAATCCAGATACCCCTGCCCTGTGCCTCCCCCTCCACCATAATTCTAGATACATTCTAACACACCATCTAACTGATTTCTTAGGGTTGTTATTTATAGTCTGTCTTCTCTAAAAGAATGTCAACTCCAAGAGGCAGGAACTCTGTCCTGCTTATTCACTGATGGATCTCCAGTGCTTGAGTAGGCTGTGGAGGCCTATGGTAACTGCTGGCTGAATGAGTCGGGTCATTTTACTAGGGGGAAAGAGAGTTCTTTTATTTTATTTTATTTTTTTGAGACGGAGTCTCGCTCTGTCGCCCAGGCTGGGGTGCAGTGGCCGGATCTCAGCTCACTGCAAGCTCCGCCTCCCGGGTTCACGCCATTCTCCTGCCTCAGCCTCCCGAGTAGCTGGGACTACAGGCGCCCGCCACCTCGCCCGGCTAGTTTTTTGTTAAAAGAGAGTTCTTAATTTTTCAAGGGGACACTGGGACTTCAGCTGAAAACTGCATCATTATGAAATGAAATGCTCCAAAATAAGCCCACATTACTCAGGAAAGCCACTCTGCCATGAGTGGCACAGTCATTGCCCACCAGAGAGCTCCAAACTGCCTTTCCTCCGCAGCTTTCTGCAGCTTCGCAGCAGCATTAATTCTCAGCGCCCACCTCCCCTGGGTCTCCCAAAGCTCTCTGCTCCCTGAGTAATGCTTTTTTAAGGGGGCCCGGGAGAGCGCTCTTTTCTTTCTCTCTTTCTCTCTTTCCCTCTTTCCCTCTTTCTTTTCTCTCTCTCTTTCCCTCTTTCTTTTCTCTCTCTCTTTCTCTCTTTCTTTCTTTCGAGACAGAGTTTTGCTCTTGTTGCCCAGGCTGGAGTGCAATGGCATGGTCTCGGCTCACTGCAACCTCCAATTCCTAGGTTCAAGCGATTCTCCTGCCTTGGCCTCCCACGTAGCTGCAATTACAGGTGCCCACGACCACACCTGGCTAATTTTTGTATGTTTAGTAGAAATGGGATTTCACCATGTTGGCCAGGCTGGTCTTGAACTCCTGACCTCAAGTGATTCATCCGCCTCAGCCTCCCAAAGTGCTGGGATTACAGGTGTGAGCCACTGTGCCCGGCCAAGAGTGCTCTTAATTTGTCCTTTCCTTTGTACTGCTTTCTCACTGAACTTCCTTTAGGAAGTGTTCTTTCAAAAGAAAACAAAACAAAACAACAACTTTAAATCACTTTGACAGAAACAATTGACTTTTAAAAAAAAAAAAAAAAATGAGCTGTTTTAGCTATTGGTGATTTCTTTCAACAATAAGCTAGTAAAGAGGAAATAAATACAGATGTGCCCAGTTTAAAAAAAAACATGCTTCTATATAAATTGGAACTTATAAAACAGATATATTAGGAGTGACTAATCAAAATACAGAAGAGTCTTCAAATTTAAAAAAAAGAGACTCTGTTTTACAAAAGGACTCACATTATAGGCTCTTTTCAAGAATTCTAAATAGGTCATTAACATTAATTTAGGAACCTGGGCATATAGAAAGTTAAGTTCAATTAACAATTAACTGAAGATTAATCAGAAATGAGGGTAAAACATTACTAAAATTTTAATATAAGCTAATGGGAAAACATTAGAGTCACAGAAGTTAAAATTATGCTGGTTTAGAGACTCATTAATCTATATGTTACATAATTTGTATTACTAGAGTTATAGTAATAAGGATTTGAAGCAGCGCTTATAGTGTTTTTTCTTAGCCCTCAATACTTGGAAGATCTTGAAAAACATTTTTCCTCCTTTTTTAAGATATTTTGACTGCATGGCTTTGTCACAGGCTTTGTTTGCCAGGTAAAATACAGAAAGCCTGATTTGAATTTCAGGTAAAGAGTGAATACACGTCATAGCAAATTTGTCCAAACCCGTGGTATGTACAGCACCAAGAGTGAACCACAATGTCAACTATGGACTTTGAGAGATATTGATGTGTCAATGTAGGTTCATCAGTTATAATAAATGTACCATTCTGGTGGGAGATGTTGACAATGGAGGAGGCTATGCATGTGTAGGGGTAGGGAGTATATGGGAACTCTCCGCCTTCCTTTCAATTTTGCTGTGAACCTAAAACTGCTCTAAAAAATAAAGTCTATAATTTATTTTTTTAAACAAAAGGCTTCCTGGCGTGTGGCTAATGAAAACTCCTTCCTTTGATGGAAAGTCTCCTTCACACTTTGTTGCTAATGTGGAAATATTATTTAAGCCCCAAGTTCAGGCCATAGGCAACT